CATCACCCCATCTTTGTCCTCCATCACTGTGCTCCATCATTAACCTCATCCCTGTCCTCCATCATCAACCCCATCACTGTGCTCCATCATCAACCTATCACTGTGCTCCATCACCAACCCCATCACTGTCTTCCCATCATCAACCCCATCACTGTGCTCCATCATCAACCTTATCACCGTCTTCCCATCATCAACCCCATCACTGTCCTCCCAGCATCAACCCCTCACTGTGCTCCATCATCACCCCATCTTTGTCCTCCATCACTGTGCCCCATCATTAACTCCATTACTGTATGCTGTCCTCAACCTCAACACTGTGCTCCCTGAATCAACACCAACACTGCGTCCCCAGCAGTAATTGTGTTCCTTGGATGTAGGGGAATCTTTACTTAGCATAGATGCACACAGTCTTTTGGGTCATATTTCTTCTAAAGAATCCCTTGAGGTTCTCAATGAATGGTATATCTGTGATGGAAGCAAGTTTTAAATGTTTCATTCATTTGCCTCAATAGAAACAAAGAAAAGCATAACCCACTGGCTTTCTATTGTAATGTATCTTGGATTCACAGGGAAGCAGGGTAGGAGCCCTGATACAGCCTGGGAAGCCTGCTGTGGGTGGTGGGACCCAGTGGACTGCAGCTTTCAGGGACTTAGGACAAGGTTAGCAGAGGAGTGGAGTGAATCCCTGTGGGATTGGCTGGGGAGAGGAGGGCCTTGGCTGGTAGGCGAGGGACTGTGCATCATGTGAGTTTCTAAGGATGAGTCACTGTCTCTGAGGACAGGCTCCAGTCCAGAAAGACCACCCCAAATTTCCATGTCACCTGTCATTAGGGCCTTGTGCATCCGCCAAGCCGACCTGGGGCCAGTGGAGGGCATCCCATTGGAGAGTTGCCGTAGGGAGGCCCAGGCAGCCTCCTGAGCTCTTTGCTCGGCATACCGCTGGCTTGGCCTAGTGTTGCTGGCCTTAAGTGGCAGCTCCGGCCCTGTCCCTCAGACCCCACAGATGTGGCCAGAGCCAAGCCTGCCTTGAGAGAGTAGTATTCCAGGGCCCTCAGAAAGCATCCCTCCCACTGCTGCCCTCCACGATGGAAAGTTTCCTGGGCAGGAATGCGTGCGGCCTGTAGCGGGGAGGGAATTCCTCAGTAAGGCTCGTGCGTGCCAGCGCCAGATGCCACACTCTGGTGCATTCATTAGACTTTCAATGAGGGCAGCTCTCAGACACGGCGACCACAGCTCTGGGACTCTGTGTCCCAGCACCCAGAAGTCACTGTACCACCCTGCAGTCAGCCTCTTCCTGCCAGCCCTTCTGATCCCTGGGCATGGGCTCCCTTTGCCACATACATCCAACTGGCCAGAGGTCAGAGGCCCTTTTCTGTCTCCAGCCTGAATTCACCAGAGCCAGAAAGTACAAAATGCTCCTCTGCCAGCAGAGATGCTATGGAAGCCTGCTGCTCTGTGACAGTCCCCCACAGCCCTCCACTCACCAGCAGGGGGACTGGATTTGCACAGCAGACTGCTGGGTCAAGGGGTAAGCTGCCCCAGTCTGTGCATGCCTGCTCCCGGTGAGCCGGAACCTGGGAGGCAGGAAGGTGCCCAAGGCAGGGAGAATAGCCATTTCAAAGGGCAGCCAGGAGACACCAGTGTCCCCGACACATCATCTTGCTGGGAGATCCTTGGAACATCACGTTACTATGCACATACAGCACACACTCTCCTGCACCTGTGGTGAGGTGACTATGGACATATAATATGTACCATCGTAAATAGAAAGGCTGGTACTACACACACAACATGCACCATCCTGCACACACAGGCGTGCTGTTGTCATGAGGTGCCGTTGAGCTGAGTATGAGTCATGGCGACCCTATGAACAGATCAGATCCCTGTCTGGTCCTGCACTGTCCCATCCTCCTCATCTCTGACACTGTGAACCCATTGCTGCAGTCTCTGTGTTGATCCATCTCGTTAAGGGGCTTCCTTTCTCTTGCTGACCCTCCACCTTTCCAAGCATGAAGTCCCTCTCCAAGCAACAGCCTCTCGTAGTGACATGTCCAATGTATGTGAGGCAAAGCTTTGCCATTGTCGCCTCCAAGAAGCACTCTGGCTGCACCTTTTCCAAGACACAGCTGTCCATTCTTTTGGCCGTCCGTGGATGTGGGTTAAGGCAGTATTGTTCAAAACGGCTCCCCTAGCCACCGCCTGCCATGTGGATGGGCACCTGTGTGAACCAGGAAGGTTAGCCTGTCCACAGGGGGTTACTAATCTTGCCATTAGATTGAGAGAGTCGGGCTGCAGAATTGGAATCTGCTTTGTAACTTAGTCCCACCAGTTATGGTGCTCTCTCCCTTCACCTCATGCAGTTGCATAATAATCTTGGAAGACATGCAAGCAGGGTGCTCCTTAGAGACAAGGATGGTGAACCTTCTCACATACGCTAGGCCAGTTGTCAGGAAGGTCCAGTCCTTAGGAAAAGACATCACACTGAGAGTGGGTCAGAGAAAGAGGAAGACTCTCAGTGAGATGATGGGCACAG